TCTCACTTGCCCTTCCTCTCTTCTCACCTGTCCTTTCCTCCCTTCTCACCTGCCCTTCCTCCCTTGTTCCTAATCCTTCCTCCTCTCACCTGTCTTTCTTCCCTTCTCTTCACCCGCCCTTCCTCACTCCCAGACACCTACCACTTTCTTCAGGTTCTCATGCAGCTGGTTCACAATCACATGCAGCCCGGAAAGCTCATTGATCATGTGGCCCAGCTCTTCACACGAACGCTCACACACTTCTGGCTTCTTTTCTGGGCTCTGGCCCACATACTTGGTGGTGATGTGTGGGCTCAGGTGGAGAGTTTCTGTGTTCTCACTGATGGTATTGACCTCTGCTGGTTGAAGCACATAAAGAGGGTGAGGGGGTTTAGCCAGCACCATACTGAGTGAGCTTGACCTTAGAACTCTATAGTGGTGGTAACGCCCACACCTCTGAGTTCAGAACAGGTTAGTGTTAGATTACCCCAGCAGCCGCAGATGACTGAGTTCTCCAGTATACCAAAGGCTACTGGTACGAAGCCAGCCACAGGCACCTCAGCAGACCTGCTGGTCTGCTTCAAAATGTGAACCACACTGTGGAACATAGTTCTTCCTGGATACACCATGTGGCATGACTCAGAAACAAGCAGAGGCAGCGCACCAAGCAGCAATACTGACCCATCCTCACCTAGACTTTCTCTAAGAGTCCATTCTGTAAGAGGCCATTATTTTATTTTTTCAAAGTTTTTCTTATTGTTGATGCTATCTGCAGTTGAGTTGCCTGCGACTCACGGTGACCTTATGTAGAACAGTTCTGAAGCCTGCCTTGTCCTGAGCCAGTCTCACTGATTACGACATACCTACTCTTACAGCCTCAGTTATTGTGTCAATCCATCTTATCCAGGGTATTCCTCTCCTGCACTGTCCCTCCACCCCTCCAACATGATGTCTTTCTCCAAGGACTGGTCCCTCCTGGCCATGTGCCCAAAGTATGTGAGATGGAGCTTCAAAATCCTAGTCTCTGAGGAGAAACTTAGTTTCACCCTCTCCAAGACAGACTTATTTGCTTTCTTGGCAGTCCACGGTATATTTAAGACTCTTCTCCAATCCCACAATTCAAAGGCATTGAATCTTCTTCTGTTATCCTCAGTCATTGGCTAGCTCTCTGATGCATAGCAAGTCATTGGGAAGACCATGACCTGGATCAGGTGCACTTTAGTCTCTAGACTGACATTGTTGTTTCTCAGTACTCTGGAAAGGACCCTGACAGCAGATTCTGTCAGTGCAATTTGTCTTTTGATTTCTCGATTGCTAGTGTCAAGAGTATTGATTGTGGAGCCAAGTAAGCTATAAGCTATAATTGTTAACAACTTCAATCTCTTCTCCAACTATCATGGGGCTGCCAATTGGCCCAGTGGTGAGATACTTGTTCTCTTGATGTTGAGTTTCAACCATATTGAAGACTACAGTCCTTGACTGCAACACGCACTTCAGGTCCTCCTAATTTTCAGCAAGCAAGGTTTTATCATCTGCCTAGCATAGGTCGTTGAGGAGTTTTCATCTGATCCTGATGTCACATTTCCCATCACACAGCCCAGCCTCCTGAATGACCTATTCTGCATACAGACTAAAAAGGTATGGAGACAAGATGCATCTCTGATGCACTCCCTTCCTGATTTTGAACCATGCAGTGTTTTCTTGCTCTTTTGGGTCTGAAATGTTTCGCATAAGCACAGTCAAGAGTTCTCAGATACCCACTCTCCTCAAGGTTAGAAACAATTTGTAGTTATCCACACAGTGAAATGCCTTTGCATAGTCAATGCAATACAGATAGACTGGTAGTCTTTGCTTTCTGCCAAGATCCAGCTGACATTGGTGACAAAGTCTCTAGTGCCACCTCTTCTCAACCCAGCTTTTATTCCTGGTAGTTTTCTGTCGAGGCACTCTTCCAGTCATTTTTGTATAATTGTCAGCAGTATTTTGCTTGAATGTGGTAGTAGTGATATTGTTCAGTAATTTCCACATTCTGTTAGTTTGCCATTTTTGGAACAGGAATAATATGGATCTTCCAGTCAGTTGCCAGGTAAAATAAACAAATCAATCTTAGACGTAAACCAGAATGCTCCTTAAGAAGAGGAGGGCATGACTTTGCATCATGTATTTTAGAGATGTGACCAGAAAAGACCCATCGTTACAGAAAGACGATTGCAGTGGGTGAGGGAAGAAAATGGGCAAGCCCCCGCCCTCCCACCCTGTGCGCGGAACGCTTCAGAAAGCCACTGAGGCTTGCAGCTATGAGCGGGCTCAACTCAACAGCAATGAGCCCAGCAAAAAACCCAAACAAAACTCATCTCAACTGAGTTGATTCTGACTCAAAATGACCACTGAGGAGAAAGCAGAGTTTTCTCATACTGTTTCCAAGCCTCTGAGTTCTGCAGAAACAGACTGATACATCTTTCTTTGATGCGGTGGCTGGTCAGTTCCAACCATGACTTTTTGCCATCACTGCTTGGTAGAGAAGAGAATCAGAAATCCTCCAAGCAATGTGCTGACACAATGGCTAACACACTGCACTTCACACTCCAGGCATCCCAGAGAGCGTCAGGAATGGACAATGCTTGGTGCTGCTACCCAGGAGTAGTGTTCACACCACTAACACACCCGCGAAGACAGGGGCTAAGTCATGCACGTGTGGACAGCCCAGTCCAACTGAGGTTAAACCAGACACAACATGCGTTGTGCACACAGCTGCAGTCTAGCTGGTCCCCACTCCCAGCCACTGTGGGCTGTAAATCCTCACCGGACCTGCACTTTCTCCTGCAGCCCTGCTGGGGGTCTGACACTACTAGAAACACACAGACTGCATCAGTACTGCAGCTCTCTCCTCTCACAATTTCTCATTTGTTCATCCTCATTCTAAGTCTGCTCCCCAACAGTATATTCTGACAACTTGTTTCCAACTCCCTCTGTGCATCTCTTTGTCTTTGTACATCTCTCTTACACATCTCCAAACTCCATTCTATTGCTTCTTGTTTTGTCTTAAAGAAAATTCACTTGCCTTCATGTTCATAAAAATAACTTCCCCAAAACACCGCCCTGATTTCCCTGAAGGCAATGCCAATCCTTGATGGACTTCTATGATTACTGGAAGCAGTTCCACAAAGACATAACAGCCTGAGCCTAAGAAACCTGCTTTTCACTGTCCAGACGTCTTTAGTTAAAGTGTGTGCGGAGCATGTTGGCACACAACTCATACAATGGATTCTGAGCAAGTGCAGAAGCAGAAGTCACTCGCAGACCAACCTGGACTGGACAATGGTACCAGTGCCAAAGGCTCTCCCCCACACCTGTTAGCTCCTTCTCACGTTACACATTATGTTCTTTCTACTCAATGTCATAACTGTTTCAAACAGTTCTTGTTAAGTCTTTATTACTTGGTATAAAAGTCATGATGTAATTCTCTTAAGCTTGGGATCTTTCCATAATTTTACACCTGTAACATATTATGATGTTGCTGTTGTTAGTTGCTGTTGATGTTAGGTGTGTATGACTCATAGAGACCCTATGAAGAACAGAACGGAACCCTGCCCTATCCTGTCACCCTCATCTCCTCTGACACACTCGAACACATCATTGCATCAGTTACTACGTCAATCCATCTAATTAGGAGTCTTCCTCTCTTTCACTGTCCTTCCACCTTTCGAGGCATGATGTCCCTCTCCAAGGACTAGACTCTGCTAGCAACATGCCCAAAGTATGTGAGATAAAGCTTTACAATCTCTGCCTCCAAGGACCACTACAGTTGCACCCTTTCCAAGATGTATCCATTTGTTCTTTTGGCTATCCACAAGATAGTCAATACTCTTCTCCAACATGTATAGACACTCTGATATTGCTCAAAGTACACCCTTGAGTGTACCCCACCTGAACTTAGAGACCATATCAAGAATACATTTGATGCACTGAACACTAATAACATGACAAGTCATGATGGGATGACATCAAAGACATCCTACAAGAAAAAAGCAAAGAGGCATTAGAAATAGAGGATAGATGAAAAGAAACATTAGAAGATATTCTGAAACTTGCTCTAGAATATAGAGAAGTTAAAGTGAATGGAAGAAATAAAGGTATAAAAGAGCTGAACAGGAGATTTCAAAAGAATGTCAAGAAAACAAAGTTAGGTACTGTAATCAATGGTGCGAAGACCTGGACTTAGAAAACCTACAAAAAAGAACATGCTCGGCATTTCTCAAGCTGCAAGAACTATAGAAAACACAACTGAAACTTCAGGTGGCCTATATGGGCAAAATATTCAGTGAAGCAGGAAACATCAAAAGAAGATTGAAGGAATACACAGAGTCATTGCATCCAACAAAATTGCTGGTCAAACATTTCACAAGATAGCATATAATCAAGAACTGATTATATTGAAGAGAAAAGTTCTGGCTGTGTTGAAGGCACTCATGAAAAACAAAGCTCAGAAATTGACAGAATACCAACCGAGATATTATTGCGAACAGGGTAATACCAGACGTGCTCACTGACTCACCTGGCCAAACAACTGAAAGAGACTTATAATTAGCCCCATTCAAAAAAGTGATCTCACAGACTGTAGAAATTATTGAATGTCATTAATATGAGACACAAGTAAAATTTTTGTCAAAGATTATTTTTAAATGGTCACAGAATTATATAGAGAACTGACAGAATTTCAATCCAAATTTGAAAGAGGACATGGAATGAGAGAATCAAAGCTGAAAGCAGAGAACAGCAGATTGTTAATAGACTTTTTATTATGCAAAGACATTCAACGGTGTGGACCATACCTGATGGATAGCCTTGCAAAGAAGTGAGTGATGTCAATGAAAAACCTAAAGATAGACCAAGAGGCAGATATTTAAAAAGAAAAAAAAAACCCAGAATAGAATAGAAGAGTACTCCACAGTTTAAAATCAGAAAAGGTGTCTGTTAGGGCTATACCCCTTCACCATACTTATTCAACTTGTACACTAAGCAATAAGCGAACAAAATGCAGTCTATGAAGACGAACACATTATCAGGATTAGAGAAAACTCATTAACAACTTGATATGCAAATAACAATTGAGAAGGGAGTGTGTCAAAGTTGTATTCTTTCTACAATTTGTATGTTGAGCAAATTATTCAAGAAGCTGGACTCTATAAAGAGGAGTGAGGCACCAGGATCGGAGGGAAACTCATCAATAACCTGCATTATACAAATGACATAACCTTGCTTGCTGAAAGTAAGGAGGACATGAAGCACATGTTGCAGAAGATCAAGGAATGCAGCCTTCAGGATGGGTTGAACCTCAATGTCAAGAAAACAAAGATTC